TTCTCTTTCATCCTTTGAATGAGTTTATTATAAAAAAAATAAAAAGGGTGAGAAAATATCTTTTCAATGATACCTGACAAGTCTAAATCGGAAGAGTTTAGGATCAGTGATTTAAGTTTTTCTTATACCAATCTTTGAAAAAAGTTCAAAAACAGCATCAAAAATCTCATTATTACGATTCCGTTCAAATTTTTTCATATTTTTTTTTTTTTATTTTACTTTATTATTTTTTTAAGCTTAAACTGTTTTGTCATATTCATTCATTTTTTCAAAAAACATCTTTAAGAGACTATTTTTATCCATAAAAAACTAAATTTTTGCAGGTATTTTCAAATCGGTCCAGCTCGCTTAAATCTTTATATTTTTCCGAAATATTTTGGTGGAAGTCTTAAAATATAATAGATTTTATAATTCCAATGCAAAAGCAGTACCGATTTTTTTTTTGTATGGGGAGTGATGCAGTCTAATGTACATGTCTGAATATGTTTGCAAGTTTAAACCTGGAGTGAGACGTTTACATACATACAAATAAATTAAATAAACATATGTATTTATGCATCTATGTATGTATGCACAAATTAGATGGTGGAGCTAAAGTGGTTCTGTCTGAGCTCATTCCTTGGTTGTCGTATTTAATATGTTCCAATGTTATGGATCTTATAGGAACCTGCAAATTGTGATATTTCAGCTAAGTAAACATGCACGTGTGAGGTAAAGTACTCGTATTGATAAACTGACCCTGGCGCCGAGCACAGTGTTATTTTTAAGAAAATGATTTGAAATAATATAAGGAAGTTTATTACAAGAACACGAATTTGTTTATAGTGCAATGGTGTATGGTAAGCTGACCCACTGTCCTCCTTTGAGGATAATTGTCTTCCTGAAATGTGATTTGTCCTCCTCAAAAATTTTGTCCTTCTATGTCCTCCTTTTGAGCAAAAATGTCCTCCTTCTTTTCAAGTTTTATAGCAGTGATGAAATTTTCGAAAAATTTCGTTCAGAATATTATAATTTCCTTATCGTACACAAGCATTGTATTTAAAAGGCGTTTACATTGTTCAACATTCATTTAAATGATGTAAACTTTTGATTCAACCAGTCGAAAATTATTGCTTACCATATGTCATTTTGTTTGCTAGATACCCGTATGTATAAGTTTTATCAGTGGCAAAATTTGTGTATGGGGATGTTTTAACTTCATAAAAGATTTTGTAAAATGGCTTAAAATAAGTAAGTTCGTTGCATTGGAGCGCAAATCTGCTTAACAAATTTTGGAAAACGAATTATGTAACAGCCAAGTACATAATAAAAAAAACACAGGCCTGTGCGATTTCCCCTTAGAAATGTATTACACGAATACGATTACAGTAAATTTTTAAGGTTACAACTATTATAATTATAATGGTAATATTTGTGTTTACAATTAAAGTAATCGTAATCGCATATAATTTAAGAATTATAATTAAGCAATCGTAATTAAAATGCAATCGTAATAAAAATTACCCAGATCTGTTACATACATACATTGTTCATAACGGTTTCAATTAGTGTTGGAAAGTATCGAGTACTTCTGAGCATCGAGTTCTTTGGTATCAATACTTTTAAGGTTTAGGTATTTTTAAGAGTACTGAGTACTTTATTTAAATACTCACATGTTGGTAAAATTTGAATGCTTAGTCTAGAAATCTCACAAGCTAGCAGAACTATTCATATTAATCCCAAATTACGTAACAAATAAATATTGTACTTGAAAATTATTTATTGAAATTCGAAATTGAGTAGAATCATTTCTGAATACCGGTAAATGCAAATAGAATTCAGTACTTTAATATATCTATTCGACTACCGAGTACTGAGCATTTTTGAGTAGTCAGTATCGATACCTGTAAAAATCGGGTACTGTCGATCCTTTTGAGAATCGAGCTCTGAGTACTTTTGGTATCGATACTGCCCAACACTAGTTTCAATATTTAGAGTTATTTGAAAAGAAAAGTGTGCGATAAAGTTTTGCTAACCTAAGACAGAATTGCATAAATTCTTAAACCGAATTTCCGCCAGGCAACGAAATGACAAAAAATGTACGCCATCATAAAAATGCAATGGGGAAACAAGCACGATGGCACGGGTAGTATTTAATGCCCAACATAGTGGTAAAATTTGTTTCATATAATGCCTAGTGAAAACTCAATGATTGCCCCATTTAAGAAAACTGTTAAAATTTTGTCGATTTTTTTTTAACACAATGTAGAACAAATGTTTACATTTTACTTCAAACTTAACAACTATTTTCAGAAGTGTAATGCCTACTTCATATTTGCGAGTAAAAATCCAGATTTTTATAAAAATTTTAAATTGTGAGACTGCTATATTAAAACTTTGATACTGAATGTTTTAAGCATTGCCATGGGTTACCAGAGGATTTTTGTGGTCGGTGATTACGAATCTGATATCAGTTTTTCAAAATTCAAAATGGCGATCAGTTTGAAAAAATACGGCTGGATTGGTTCAAAACTCGGGAATTTTTTGGGTCGTAGATTACAGATCTGAAGCCAATTTTTTAAATTTTAAAATGGCGAATCCAATTTTGCTATCAAATTCTTAAAAAATTACCAAAATCAAAACGTTGATATTGAAAGTTTTAAGCATTGTCAAGG